ATATTCATGTTTATGTGCTGTCCAGAAAAAGCACTTAAATATTACTGGTAAAATAATATTAGCTTTTACTTTTAATATTGATACATACTATAATGTGTATTGTTTATTTAGTAAATTCTAGTAGTTTAGAGATTCAGATTATTTTAGTAAAATTTAAAAGAATAGTTAAATAAATGTTACTACACCCAAAAGTTTGTTTTTTCAGGGAGGGGTTGGGGGTTCTGTCCTGAGGATGGACCAGCCTTGTTGGGAGTAAAATTTACTGGGATCATGTGTTTGAAGAAAATACTCCTGAGTTTTTCAGATACTCCAGGGACAAAGTTTTTGCATTTGATCTTCATAATGTTCTTTTCTGCAACATGTTTTTTTTTTAGATTTCTTTGCTGATTTGACAAAAGCCCAGTTAGAATATCCTCAGTAGTTGATTCGCCCACTGCGTACACTTGAAGGCTTTGCTGATATCCTACAAAGAGCATCCACCTGACTGATTTATGTGGCTTTTGTTGCTCATGGGTACTTGTTGTTGTTTTCCTGCAGGTTGGGCAGACATGGAAAAATCCTCCTGACTATCCCCAGTCAGGGCTCCACAGATGAGCAGAAGTTTATCCACAAAGGTGAAGCTCCAAAATCCAACTCCCTGTTTGACATTGACCCCAAGACGTTTGTGTTCTTCGTTGGAGGTGTCCCACCAGACGTCAAGGTAGAGGCTGAGAAAGTCTCTTTTTGCAAATCTWTGTGTTTTCTTTGCATTTCCTTGAAATTCTGACCGATGTTTTTCTTGTTTCCGATCTAGCTGCCACCTCCTCTGAGTCTGGCTCCTTTTGTGGGCTGCATTGAGTTGTCTTCTCTGAACAATGGCATCATCAGTTTGTACAGCTTCAAACAGACTCACAAAATGGATGTTGTTTCATCACCACCATGTCCCAGGTACACATTTACATAGTTACTTTGACCTGTGGGGGGAAATAATTTTAATTTGCTCCTTCTTTAACAGAAAATGATTTATTTCCCAAATACCATAYTTTTTTTTATTCTGGTGAAAATACTGGACAGATGTTGGAGGGGATACAAACAGAATACTGTAGAGTAAAGTTGACTTAAAGGAATCTCTGATTATTTGTAGTATTATATTTTATTTGATAAACATTTACTTTGCATTAGTGCACAAGGTAATATTTTTACCCCTGACACTACAGTTATATAAACTCTGTGTGTGTGTGTATATGTATATATGTATATATATATATATATAT